CGGTACAGCCCCAGAAGACGAAGGCAAATGCCGTTGGAACAAACCCACGAACTTCTGATGATCAAGTAAAATCTGACCATCAGATTCCTGCATCTGGTTAATCTTCCTCTTCATGTTTGTCGCATAGCTATGTGCGAGCTTATGCAACTGTTTATTCTCCTGCTTGAGCCCTCTAATCTCCTGTTTGAGACTCATCACTTCAGCCGCCAATGATTCAACTTGACGGGTTCGAGCAAATACGCGTTGGGCCATATTAGACACAGAACCTGCACACTGCACACTAAGAGCCAGAGAATCCTTAACAGCCAATTCATCAGACCATTTGGAAAGTAGTCTGTTATCTTTGGGAGTGACAAGGTTCCGGGCCACGACCGCAGCGGTCATATCATTCTTCATCAACGAATCCCCAACGGTAAGAGGACCAATAGGGGATATGAATGATGGGCGCCATATGTTGTCTAGAGAAGGCGGGACTGCCTCTTCACCAAGGTTCAAGTCAAAACGACGGTCAGAGGGTCCAGACATTTTCAAAGTGTTGAAGAAAGAAGAGATCGGACAAATCAAGATCTTAGAAGTGCAAGAAGAGAGTTTTCACAAGCGAAAATTCAAGTGTGCTTTGAAACGAACTGCGTGCCTCTATAAAAATCAGCACTCGACAGGATTTCAGAGATCGAAGAGACGAGCTCAGAATTCGAAGAGGCCAATTCAAAAAATCGAAGAGGTGCTAGCTTTCTCAAAAGCTGGGCTTGCTCGGAAACCACGGGCGATCTTCCTTTCCAGACTTGTCAGCACCCATCACACGCAAACTCAGCTTTGCGGAAATCACAGGTAATTTGTCGAAGCGCCGATCCCAGATATCGAAGAGGCGCCAGTCTTTTTCAGCCGCGTCAACACATGTCATGTGCACACTCAACTTTGCGCAAATCACGGGCAATTTGTCGAAGATTTTCGGTGAAGGAGAAAGCACGTGAAGTTTACTGTTCAATCATCCAACGGTTGCCGACAAGAGTGAAAGAACAGTACCGGTTATTAATCCATATAAATGTCCACCTTCACCCTTCATAGCAAGGCTGACATACAGAACCTTTCTTCATATCCGAGAATGCCTTCCCAACGAAGCCTCTCGGGTCACTCAGTGTTCCTTATTCCTTGGGGTACCTCTGCAAACAAATGACACCAAAGCAAAATTATCTTATATCACCAGGGTAGAAAGTAAGAGTATCTCATATCATGCGTTCTCCCTGTCCTTTCCTTTGTCCTTGTTCTTACCTACAAAGACAAGGATAAAGAAAACAATATGCCGGAACCTCCACTCAAACTCGGGTAAGGAACCGACTGCTTGGAACCCTTCCCTGATTGCCTACCTAGCACTGCTCTCGAGTACTCGTCTCCCAATGCTGCTGTACTTCCAAAGAAGCTGCCACATCTGCCTGAAGAACAGATAAGGCAAGTGAAAATGATACCTTGCAGCACGTGGAGACAACGTGCAGAAGAAACAAGCAGAGAAGAATACAGCATGCACAGTCAACTCAGCAGAAGGAGTCTGAGATGAGGAACTCGAGAAGATGCCACATCTGCCTAAGGAACAGATAAAGGAAATGAAAATGATACCTTGAAGCATGTGGAGACAAGTGCAACAAAGCACGTGCTGATTCATCCGCTACTTTTTCAAAATCAAAAGTATCTCATATCATCAGGGTTGCAATCACTCTGGACGGTGAATTCGTTTTGACCCTCAAATTCTTGGGTCGGCTTACTAGGCGTTGTGGGCTGCACGTGCCGATTCACCACCCTTGAATCAAATCCTTAAAGATCATGTCACCAACTGGAAGAAGAGCCCATCAATCTTGAAGATCATATCGCTGACCAAACTGCTCAGGTGTGAATTAGAAAGATTGAACAAAGCAACAAGTCGTCACCTTCATCTCGTGCCTGCTTGCCATATGTTCGAGTCAACTTTCAAGAATCAAGCCTCAACGGCCCTTGAAGAAGCTTCCAGCCAAATTCAAAATCAAGCCTCGACGGCCTTTGAGGAAATCACAAGTCCAATTCAAGATCAAGTGTCTACCACCCTTGAATCAAAACCTAGTTCAAGAATAAGCTGTGGAAAGTCAACAACTGGAGGAATCCAGAAAATCCTCCAACCCAATTCAAGATCAAGCCTCGACGGCCCTTGAAGAAATGTCAAACAAAGTTCAAGAACAAGCCTCAACGGCCCTTGAAGAAATCTCAAGCCCAATTCAAGATCAAGCCTCAACGACTCTTGAAGAAATCTCCAGCCCAATTCAAGATCAAGCCTCGACGGCCCTTGGATCGACATCTACATTAAGGGACTTCAAAACGCATCTCCTACACGTGACAAGCACATGTATACAACACGCCTTGAAGTGGGGGCATTTGTAGACATCGAAATTTCGGTAAATAAATGTTGACCGATAAATCAAAGTTTCAACGCTCATGTATTACATAAATTTTACACGTAACGTGTGCCTAAACAAAAAATCAAAATAAGTTTGAAAAGTCATCAAACAGGACACGTGTCAACACCTGACAGAAACGACTTATTTCATCTGGAATATTATATTCAAAATTAGGCATTGGAAAATTCTATAAATAGAAGCCAATTTAATTCATTTAATGGAGGAACCAATTCATATTACACCTTGAAGCTCTGAAGCTCTGAAACTCCGAAGCTCTCAAACATCCAGGTTCCCGAAGAATCAAGAAAGTGTTCTTCGTTCTTCGTTCATCGTTCATCCTAAGATCAAGCCCAAACGGCCATTTGGATCAACAAACATCCACCAATTCAAGATCAAGCCCCGACGGCCCTTGAAGAAAGTGTTCTCCGTTCTTCGTTTATCGTTCTTCCAAGATCAAGCCCCAACGGCCCTTTGGATCAACAATCATCCACCAATTCAAGATCAAGCCCCGACGGCCCTTAAAGAAAGTGTTCTTCGTTCTTCGTTCATCGTTCATCCTAAGATCAAGCCCTGACGGCTCTTTGGATCAACAATCATCCACCAATTCAAGATCAAGCCCCGACGGCCCTCGGATCAACAAGCAACCGTTCTTCAAAATTGAAGATCCGTTCATCACTGTTCTTCAAGATCAATCATCCGTTCATCACTGTTCTTCAAGATCAAGCCTCAACAGCCATTGAAGAAACACTCATCCTCAAGATCAAGCCCCAACGGCTCCTTGAAGATTCGCTCAAATCCACCTTCAAGAATCAAGCCCACGGCCCTTAAAGAACGTTCATCCAAGATCAAGCCTCGACGGCCCTTGGATCAATCACACATCAACAAATACACACCTTACGGAGATCGAATCAGATGATCAAAATTGAGAGAGATTGTAACCCAAAATCATCAAATACAAATATTATTTTGTGCACGTTGTTCTTGTCTCTTTCGTTTCGGGAATTTTCCGTGTTCACAGATACATAGCAAAAGCGATTATGAGTCACAATGAACTTTGTATGATCATGATGGAGACAATGACGAGTCAAAGATTACAGTGGTTGCAAGGTGATATGAAAATAAATAAGTTTTTTCAACTAGGTTTGCACCTATTGGTGCTGCAAGATTAAACTTTTAAAACAAAGATGTCTAATTTCTGGTGCCGGTGAATCACACGAAGGTGGCTAGGTGTGGCTGAAATGCCTTGTGAGTCTTCTTGGCTTGCAGAAGGGGACTATCGTGGCTCGGCCACCAGTTGGTCCCCTTTTCATTCAAAAAAAAAAAGGTCTAAAAATTTGTTATATTGTTTTTTGCCCGTAAGATTGGTGCTTTATTTGTACCTGGTGTAGAATTTCTTGTTTCTGTCCTAAGACTTGAAAAAAGTAGCATGTGTTTTCCGTTTTTTACCGATAAACTTCCTGTTGCAATGGAAGCACTTCTTAACGTGTGTATGGTACTTGCGATCGAAGAATAATGTTATTAAGGCACACAAAGCTGACCTTATTTTTAACACTCGGTTACATGTAGATCTCACGTACCACGGTTAGGCATACCTTTATCAAAGAGTCGCAGATGAAGTTAATTTTGTGTGTCCAAATGATCTTGTTTTGCAATCAAATAAAGTTGTTTCACACAATAAATTGAGAGATTAATGCTGTTTAGTTTTAGTTGAACAAACGAGATTCAAAAAATCCAAAAAAATTTGGACCATTTCTCGATTTATGCGTGTCATCCTTGCGCAGGGGCCATGCTAATCTTCTCTATATCGTTCCAATTTTATCGGATGTCCCCGAAGGGACAAATTCATAGCCATCAAAACATGTATAAAGGGGTTGATATCACGGCGTTTAGTCCATGTGGGATTGCTGTGCTTTGAAAAAAAGCTGCTGTGAGAATAAGCGGCTGTGCTGTGAGAATAAGCGGCTGTGAAATAAAGCCAGTAGAGTGTTTGGTAAACTTTTTTGTGAAAGTGCTTTTGGAAAAAAAAGCAGGATGATAGTGTGTTTTTTCATTAAAGGAGCACTGTAGCTCCGTGTGCTTTGAAAAAACTGGCTTTTTTACAAAGCAGCAAATAGCAGCTTCAGCTTTTCCTTTGATTTTCAGCTTATTCTCACAGCAGCTTCCAAAATAAGCCCTTTTTTTTCAGTTTACCAAACACAAAAATGACCCTCAGCTTTTTTTCACAGTAGCTTTTTTTAAAATCACCTCAATCCCAAACGGAGCCTTAGTCCACGCTTTTTACAAAACGCAGCGTATTGGTCCTTTTTGGGGATTTAAAAGTTTAAAAATATAAGCTGACGCCCACCGTGGGGCTCGAACCCACGACCACAAGGTTAAGAGCCTTGCGCTTTACCAACTGAGCTAGACGGGCCGTTTGACTACTCCACTCTTGGACGCATATTTTACAGAGTTCCAATGTTATCCTTCCTACAGAGTTCCAATGTTATCCTTCCTAAGGGATGGAAGTTGCTGAACCGTATTGTCGACTTAAAAATTCACAGCTTCAAACTTTAAGAATGGTAATCCAGAAAACCTTATAAATAATTTAATTAAATTCTTTTTTTATGAGACGTCCAAATACATCCAAGCATGTACAGTACAGAGTATTATACAATGGTAGTTTCCGAATACTCCTTCGGTTTCAAGAATTTCAAATCGATAAACATTTACAGCCGATTACATCAATGTTTGAATTCAATTTAGGTATTGAAGAACTAACCATTACCCCTTCCATATTCCCTGCATTTTCAACATCAAACATGACTGTGCTAAGCCCCTTTCCCACAACATAAAATTTCTTTCCAATAGCTACGAGTTGACAGGGCGGTCTAGTAAGCAACGATGACAGCCTCCCGACAGGGATCCACTCCCTAGTTTCCTTCTCCCACATCATCAGCCTCGTTCCTGAACTCTGATCCAACACATAGAGGGTTCCGTCTACGACAACTGCTGGACCTCGCCAGCCTGAAACCATTTCAGAATCTGCATGCTGCCATGTCCCACTTGACGGTTCATAAACAACTGCGTGCACATGAGAAGTTACAGCAGAAGTGCCACAACGAATGTAAATCTTCCCGGCCATGACCACAGAATCCTCAATTTCAGGAACGATGTTTGGGTCTGAGTGAAATTTCCAACTATTGGTGCAAGGGTCATATATGTCCCAAGAATGCGGATAGCTTGAAATTGAACCCAACCCGCCAATGGAATATATTTTGTCATCCAATATTTCACAAGCAAAGTAGCACCTGCATGCACAAATCAAATAAACCAAAAGCTCTTTAAGATTACCAAAACAAACAAAAAGACGCATAATTATTTGCAAGAGCTTTTACTACCATCCAGACAGCATTCAACAATGAGCAATCAACGTGCTCAGAAAGTTCATGAGCATAAAATAATCGCTACTCCTTAGTATTGCATAAAATACAATGCCCCCTCAGCAGGTGAAATATATTTGAATTTTGAACCTGGGAGAAATCAAATTCCAGCTTTACCCGTGCAAATAACTATGCAAAAAGTATAAGTGAGAAGTATTACCTAGCAGTGGACAAGGGAGAAGCTTCACTCCAAGCATTCAGGGAAGCATCATAACAGTAGACCTCATCAGTAGCATCTTCGCACCAACCGCAACCACCCAACAAGTAAACTTTATTTCCTATAACTTCAAAACCCATTCCCTTTCTCTTCATGATACGAGGCGGAAGCCCATGAACAAGCTTCCAAGACCGTCTCGATGAGTTTGGATCCAACACATAAAAGCATAGGCGGTCCAACTTGTCTCGGCACAAAGCATAGATCCAAGTCTCATCAAGTTTATGCTTTCTACGGTAAGAATGCCACTCTTCACTACACACCAAGTCTCTCCATCTTTTTGAGACACACTTTAGGAGGGTATGGTACTTCCGAGGCACCCTTGCTAGGCAGAAAAGAGCAATATCATCTGGAAGTCCACATAAAAGTGGCTCTTGGGTCAGTTCCGTTTGACTGATCACATCTGATCCATCACCTGGCAGTTCCATTCTAATGTATGGCTGAGTGGATGCCCTGCAAAATTATATAAGAACCATAAGAATTTTAGATAAGTAAGCCTGATATAACCCAACAACAATGTTGCACGCTGAAAATTGAATTCACTGTAGCAATCGCGCCCCTGGTAACCATGTCAACCAAAGACTAGAACTAGCAATGCTAAACTTCCTTCCACTAACAAAACTTGGCATTGTCAATAGGTTGTTCCATAATCGACTGATATTTGGAGAATCAATTTGAGAAATACCCTTATGATATGCAGTTCAAACACTGCCACAAACATTTTCTCCTCTCTCTTGATGAATTATTCTTTCTCTAAGCTTGCTTTTATTCTTTTATCACCTTATGGAATCATTGAATTTATCTATTTCTCCAATCGAGTAGATTTAGCATATAGATTGCATTCCATTGCCATATTTTCGCCTCATACAAAATTCTTAATAACAATGCCCTTCACGAACTTGAAGTTAAAGTTTCTCGTTTTTCATTTGTCGCAGCATTACTCTTCAAATCCACACAAACTTAAAACACTCTGTGATCGTTATACAATTAAAAACCAACAATTCAACAAAATATGCAGCAGCATCAAGACCGAAAATCCAATTCTAACTCAGAAATTCTGTGCAACATCTCTCTTTCAATCTTGTTGTTCTTCATACTAGTATCTTGGTTCCATGGTAATAGTTAAAATCCAGTACAATTCAACATCAAATTCATTCCAAGTGTTAGAAAATATATAATTCCAATTCCATTTCGATTTTATTTGCAGAAATTTCAACTTTTTCACACGAACAAGTGAATCAAGTACCAAAATTAATGAGCTAAAACCCTGATGCGAAAAATCACATGGAAAATGCTGACCGAATCGACAAAACAAACCAACGAAAGAAATTTGAAAAGGCAGAAATAAAAAGATTTGGGGGAAAACTAACCTGCGAGTCTGAGAAATGGAGATTTGCTCGGTTATTGGAACCACGATCTTCGCCTCCAATCAATTCCTGAGGAAGCTTGGCAATGGCTGAAACTGATTGCGTGAAGCTGTATTCCTACGAAAGATTGGGAAAACCTTTCTGATTAAGCTTTGTCTTCGTTTGGGCTAGTTTAATATGCTGTTCTTTGAAGAAAAAAAAAAAGAAAAAAAAAAGAAAAAAAAAAAAAAAAAAAAAAAAAAAGCTTTTATGCATTAGAATAAGTAACTGTAAAATAAAACAGAAAAATATTTAGTAAATTATAGTTACAAAAGTGCTTTTAGCAGAAAAAATTATATTATAATATTTAGTAAATTTTTATGTAAAACAATTTTAACTATGTAAAAAGACAAAATACTGAATATGCCTATTAATTTAATTGTTTGGCAAATAAAGATCAATTATTAAATTACTTTGTTTAACAAAAATATTTAATCTTAATTTCAACCTATATCAAATACTAATTATTACGACAAATTAATTTTAAAAAATTGAAATATTTCAAACTATTTAGCTAGGATTCATTAGCACAACATTGTTCATGCATTTGAAATACCATCAACCAACTGAAACGTACTTTAGCAAAATAACAAACCAAAAGTTGTCAATATAAAAGTGGTCTAATAAGATACATCCATCAAACTTGTGGCTATGTTATTTCTTAATGCTTTGTCTCATGGCTCCTTCCGCTTGATAATTATGATATTCTTCATCATCATTATTGCTCTCTTCAGAGAAGTCATCGGGGTCATTGAAATCGTAATTACATTCAGAATGCCTTCGTATATAGCATATTATGTCGAAATTCTTCATCTCACATTAGCAGCAAGAGCATCAGAAGATTGAAGTTAAACAAATCCGTTCCCAGGACAACCTAAGCTCTTCACAAAGACACTGTCGAAGTCTACCTTCCAGAATCTTGTTCAAGGAATCGATATGCATAAATTGTTTGATTTGGCATGGGTATAGTTTCATTTGGAAGTTTGTCAAATTCAGGAGAGTATCAAGAAGTATACCCACTTGACTTTAACGTACTCTTTTTCCTCTATGATTAGGAGCTTTTTTTCCTATTGGGTTTTTGTTACCTGGGATTTAATAAGGCACCTATCATTGGCTGGTCCTATCCTTGTGTATTCAATTTTTGTCCCAAATATTATTATTATGTTGTAGAACAGTGGATGTCCACTCATGGGAATTAAATAATGGGCAAGTGGCCCTTCCATTGTCTACCAAAACTTGCTTCATACGATTCCTATTTTCTATATATATATAAAGCCCACACAACACCAATGTAATTAGGAGTTCACGGGAAAGAAAGAGAGGAAGGAAGGAAGAGGAAGAGAGAGAATAGAGGAAGATGAGAGGAGATAATAGAGAGAGTTATCTTTGTACTCCTATTATTTCAAATTATAATGAAAGTACTACTGCTGCCCCGAGGATGTACTCCAGTCACACTGACTGTAGAGGAACCTCGTAAATTTTGTGTCTTGTTTCATTTATTCCACTGCACCTACAGTCAATTTTACAACACGTTATCAGCACGAGAAGCTCTCATGTCAGTGGAAAGCACAACGCCAAATCCTGTTCACCTCCTTCAGCTGGAATCTTCATAGATAAGAAAAAAAAATTTCATTTCATCTTCAAATCTCAGTACAATTGATTTTCTTGAAGCAACTATAAAATATTTGTTTATATGACTGATATCATCATCCTTTCAGCAGAAGCAAAAGAGTAAAAAGACTCAAAATTTGTAAGAGATTTTGACAGCCATGTATAAGTAGCCTCGGAACTTCCAACTTGCGGACCTCGGATTGAAATACTTTCTTTCTTCTGAAAGTTGTTCGTCTTCTCAGTATCTACAACAATATCAAAATTTCAGAAAATGTTAACGGAATGGGTGCAATCATTCGCAGATGTCTGAAAAAACTACCAAAACCAGTTTTCCAATTTCCGCAGAAAAATCTGGGCAGCCACTCTTATGAGTACCAAAACTCTCCATTTCGGACCACATAAACTCTTTGGTAGCTCAAAGCGAAATTGTTTCTTCACGAAAGTTGTTTGGTTTGATCCTCTTATCCATATCATACTAAAATTTGAACTAAATCTAACGGTTTGATCTTCTCATAAGTTGCAGACACTCTTGACTCCAAAACTTAATGAGAACCGTTTCGACTTTTTCAAAAACTCACGGAGGAGGAACACAATGATTGAACTCTATTGTTACTATATATTTACTAAGTAACCAAAATGACTTCGAACTGTGAAATAATAATAAAAATAAAAGGGATGAAACAAAAGAAGTGGCAGACCAAAGAAAATGAAAAAAGCAAAACATTGAGGACATTCATTTTCTGTTTTTGGCATATTTATGTGCATCATGGTGTTGGTTTAAAAGCCCATGTCACACAAGTTCAACTTTATTTAAAGCAATTTATTTACAGTGGGTAGAATTATTACCCTTTGTTTTAAAGCTTTGATATTTATGTGAATGGTGCTGAATTAAAGCCCTTGTCACAAGCTTTATTTATTTAAATGCAATTTATTCATTATGGCTGGAATTACCGTCTATTGCTTTAATTTATTTATTGTACTTATCTTTTGTTACAATGAGTATAACAAGGACCCAGAGTTCCTTGATTAGATCAAAACCTGCAGTTTCTTGATCCTCATCACATAAAATGATAGGACCCGAAGTTCCATCATACAAAAAGATCAGGCATGAAGTCCTTTGATCCTGAAGATCAGGACATGAAATTCCTTGATGAGTACCGTAAGTTTAAAGTGCCGCAGTGCCTCAACTTAACTATAATAAAGGACATAAGAGTCTCAGTTCACAGACTATTAAACAAGGACCAGAAGTTCCTCATGTCCATACTCAAAATGGTTTAGCAGAAGCATTTATTAAGTGGGTGAAATCAATTACCAACGCTCTGCTCATGAAAACGAAATTGCCAATTTTCTACATGGGAACATGTAAACTTTACATGATGCATTATTAATTCGGTTGAGACATGTTACCAACCATCAATACTTCTCAGTACAACTCGTGTTTGGAAACCAGCCAAGCATTATACTTTCACGAGTTTTTGGTTGTGTTGTCTATGTGCCTGCAAGACTGCCACAACGTACAGAAATGAGGCATCTTTGTAGATTAGGCATTGATGTTGAACACCATTTATCATTCAATATTTGGAACCCTTGACTGGGGATATGTCTACCGCATGATTTGCGGACTATGATTTTGATAAGACAGTTTTCCTGCCATTAGGGGGAGAAAATAACATCGTTCCAGAAGAACGAAGATAATTTGTCTTATTTTGATTCACGAAGCAATCAATGAGAAAATGAAATATGAATAAATGAATGATGCAACGAAAGTGATGAAATCATATATACTTACTGCAAATGTGCCTACAAGAATTGATGTCTCTGTTGGATAAAATAATGAGACAGTAAATGATTTATCTGTTGCACGCCTGAAGCGTGGCAGATTTTTAGACTCAAAAGGTTCAGTTATTTGAAAGAAGAATAATATGGCACTACTGAACTATTGCATTCCCGAAGCATAATTGTTGCATGCCAGAAGCATGACAGTCGCCGCGTGGATACACATCCCAGATAGGACAATCCACAGACATGGGAATGTTGATGTCTCATACATGGAGCATAATAGACATATAGGTTCCAATGACTCAACTCCCGGAAATGGAGATTAAAATCCAAGCTCTATAACGCTTAAGAGGAGGTTATGATCCACATTTTCTAAATTATGACTATCCTGGAAGAGATAGCGTCATGCCCTTGAAGAGGCAATGGATATCCAAAGAAATGAAAGCTTTTATGCATGCGCATGCACATGAGAATATGGGATCACGGATTGATGATAACCAATGGTAATCTTGGTTTTTACAAGTAGCTACTAAATTCATCAATGAGCTGTGTTAATATTGAGTCACGTTCTTTTGTTCGTCGACAAAAGAAAAATTATTGGCCAAAATGGAGAAAGGCAATTCCATTACAATTTTGTAAGAACGTGGGCAAATGAACCTATATATATTTGAATACAATACAAATAGCCAAAAGATGTTGAACCAAGGAGGTTATATATGGGCATTTGTAATACAGTGTAATACACTTACATGATATGACACAAGGTTGTAAACGAGTTCATATGAATGGAGAATTATATACGAAGGGTTGTGAGTCGCCCACATTATATCTCCATAAGTAAATCCCTCAAGTATACATGGGAGCAAATTGCTCTATATAAATTCCAAAGGAAAATGTATCATGAAGTGTAGAAAACCCTTGAAGGATTCAAATTGCTTGAAGTAAGCCTCTGAAGGGTAAAGCATAAAATATATACTCAATATCAATGGATGATATAAATTGCCTTAGTGAGTACTATCATTATGATATTGTTACAACATACTAAAATCTCTTGCAAGAGTCAATGACATTAAATTAGAACTCTTGAAGAGTTGATGATATTAAATTGGGACTCCTGAAGAGTCTAGAAAAATTATAAAGTGTTGAAGGAATTATTGTCTCGAGCTGCAGATTGAACAATCTACCAACACGAACCTTATCCATGATATTTATGATATTAAAAGAACCATATGGATTGAAGATTATGAGTTGAATACTCATATGATGAAGACACTAAGAATAATCATTTATCTTCGTGAGGGTAAAGATAAATTAATACTTGGTCCAGAAGTACCACATCTTAGTGAAGTATATGCTTTATTGTATTTGGCACAATACATTGAATGAAATAAAGCTTATTTATTAATATCTCTAAGAAATTACAGATATATACATACACATGAGTTAAAACAAACAAACAGGATGGAGCCTTCACAAAGGTTACTCATGTGCAGCCTCAGTACTCGAAAGTACCCCAGAAGGGGGAGGCATTGGAGATTGATCATGTGGCACCCCAGTACTTAGCAAAACACCAGAAGGGGAAGGCATCAGTTGCTTTCAGAATCTAGCAACGAACCTCTGGTGATTGAATCCGACTTTCGGATTCCTGCAGTTGGACGAGCTTTCTTTTCATGCTCGTAGAGTAACTATTTGCAAGCACGTGTAACACCCTATTCTCGTGCTTGAGCCCTCTGATC